GGGATCTTGCACGCGGGGGCGCGCGCGCGGTGGTAGGCGCGCTCGACTAAATTTAATGCGTCCATGCCGTCTCCGCCCGAAATCAGCGGAACCAAATACATACAGCGAGCCGCCTAAATGCTCAATAAACCAATGTTTGACCCCCGCAAGTATCCCCCAACGTTGCGCACATCGCAGTGGTGCTTCGGCCCTCCTTCCATGGCGCCAGACGCCCTTCTCACGCGCCCCAAACGACCACACGAGACGCCACCCCCGTCGAGAAACGACGACGACGAGCCGCTATCTAGAGCGCGTCCCGCCACCGCGCGAGGACCGCGAAGAAGTAGCGCCGCTTCTCGCGGTCGCGCATGACGTCGGCGAAGGCCTCGTACTCGAGGGCCATGAGCATGAGGGTCACGAAGGTGCCGACGAGGTCGTCGCCGCCGGCGGCGGCGAGGCGCTCGCAGGCCGCCTTGAAGCCCGGCGCGTCGGCGCCGCGGCGCGCGAGCCAGCCGTCGAGGCTGCCGTCGACGAGGGCGCAGAAGTCGGCGTGGATCCGCGTGTGCTCGAGCCGGTGCTCGCCCGTTTGCTGCTCCTCGCCGGCGGCGAAGGCGCCCTCGTGCGCGTCCATGAAGGCGTGCCAGGCGTCGAGGCTGCCCGAGCCGAGGCAGAAGCGCGCGCAGGCCGCGACGAGCGCCGCGTCGTCGTCGTCGTCGTCGTCCTTGCCGTCGCTCCGCGACGACGCCTTGCGCTCGCCGTCCTTGGCCTCGCCGGATCCGAAGAGGCGCCGCATCGCAGAGGCGCCCGGGCGTCAAGTATCGATGCGCGACGGGGTATAAAGTTTGCATTGTTTTGGTTTTCACCAAAACTCCCTCTCTGGTCGGGCAGCGCTGCTGCGTCGTGGAGCGGAGGCGGCCCTGCGACGCCGCCGCTCGCGCCGGCCGTGGTCGTCGCCGCCGCCGGGCGCCGTATCCCGCGGCCGGGCGGCCCTTCCTCGCGCGCCGCCGGCGCCCCGCGGCGTCCGCGCCCCGGCCCCCCGGCGTTTGCCGCCGGGCGGGCGGGACGCCGAGGAGCCCCCATTCTCAAACCCGACCATGTTCTTCGGCAAGCTGAGCTTCCGGACGGGCAAGTCGTTCCTGCGGAGCGACGCCGCGCGGCACGCGCGCGGGTCGGGCTACCGGACGCACCCCGACGACGACGACGACCTCGGCGCGCCCGTCGCGCCGCCGCCGCGGCAGTCCGTCAAGGGCAAGGCGACGTTCTTCTTCGGCGCCCGCGGCAGCGGCCGCCGCGGACCGGCGCCGAAGAAGGACGAGACGCCCGAGCAGCTGCGCGCGCGCCTCGAGAAGGCGCGGCAGGCCGACCCCGACCGCGCGTCGGCGATGAACAACCGCGTCGAGGTCGAGAACATGGTCATCGGCTTCACGCGCAAGCTGCGGGAGATGGAGGGCTCCAAGTGGGTCATGCTCCCGGAGAACGGCCACCTCCAGAACTGGGGGCTCGTCATGCTCATCGCGCTGTCGTACACGGCGCTCGTGACGCCGTACGAGGTCGGCGTCGAAAGACACAGACTTCAAACCGCTCGAGCTCGGTCACATCGACGTCGATTCGGCTGATTTTTGGACGAATCGATGGCCCTCGTCGAGTGCTCGACGCACGGCCAAAGAGCTCGCGTCGAAACGGTCCCATACGCGCACATTGAAGTCGGGTGGAAGATGTGAGTTCCGCGCAGGTACGAGGTCGGCGTGCTCGGCGACTGGAAGGCCGGCGACAAGCAGTTCTACCTGAAGCCGCTCTACATCCTGAATTCGCTCTTCAATCTGATCTTCGCCATCGACATCGTCGTCTGCTTCTTCACGGGCTACGTGCACCACGCGGCGCCGGGCGACTGCGACGACCCGTGTGGCAATCAAATCTTCAACCCGACTTCAATGTGCGCGTATTCGAATGTTTCGACACAAGTTCTTCGGCGCTGCTTCGAGAGCTCGAGGAGAGCAATCGATGCGTCCAAAAATCACCCGAATCGACTTCGATTTGGCCGAGCGAGAGAATTTCAAAGTTTGGTCGGGACGTCGCAAACCGGTGGTCGATTTGCACACAGGCGACGACCCCATGGAGGGCAAGGTCGTCCGCGAGTTCCAGCGCATCGCGGAGCACTACCTCAAGGGCGGCTTCAGCTTCGACCTCGTCGTGACGATCCCCTGGGACGAGATCTTCGAGGCGACGCAGAGCGGCGGGTCCAACGCAGGGCGGCACAAGAGAGCGACATGCCCAACTTCAAAGGCTCCGATCTCGGCCGCTTTCCACTCGTTTCGGCTGATGTTTGGACGAGCGATCATCTCTCGGAACGGTCTCGACGCGTGGATGCGTTTTCCGGAACGCGCGCGCGCGGAACACTCACGTTGAAGCGACGTTGAATCTCTCTTGTGCTGCCCAGGTCCAACGACGCGATGAAGTTCGTCCGCGTGCTCCGGCTCGTCCGCCTCGCGCGGCTCTTCAAGTTCAAGTTCAAGAACAAGTACCAGGAGAAGCTCGAGGCCTACTACGCCATCCCCATCGCCTACTACTCCCTCGCGGGCCTCTTCACCAAGGTCTGCATCGTCGCGCACTTCCTCGCGTGCCTCTGGGTGCTCATAGGGTCCGAGAGCTGCCAGCTCCCGGAGGAGAACGAGCCCTGCGACGACTGGGACGCGCCGCCCTTCTCCTGCAAGCGCTGCCGCTACAACTCCTGGTTCGACGGCCTCCAGGACACGCTCGGCAAGCGGAACCAGGGCAAGGTCGCGACCCGCGCGGACCGCCTTCCGCGCGACGTCGACGTCGACGGGTTCGACGCGCGCGCGTCGGCCGCGCGTCGACCACGCGAACGAGAGCCCACTCGATCCGTCCGAACATCGCCCGAATCGACGCGGCCGAGCTCGAGCGTGTCGACGCACCGGTCGCTTCGCGCGCAGGTCACGAACATGGAGAAGTACTCCGCGGCCGTCTACTGGGCCATGTACACGCTCACGTCCGTGGGCTACGGCGACATCAGCGCGACGAACACGACGGAGATGCAGGTCTGCACGATCTGCCTCCTCATCGGGTCGTTCATGTGGGCCTACATCATCGGGTCCGCGTGCTCGATCCTCACGTCGATCTCGCTCGAGAAGGCGGAGCACCAGCAGACCATGGACCACCTCAACAACTTCCTCAAGGCGAAGAACATGCCCCTCGACTTCCGCATCGAGCTCCGGAGCTTCTTCACGCAGCGCAACATCCTCCAGGTCTCCGCGCGCGAGCAGGCGCTCGTCGGCGCGATGAGCCCCGCGCTGTGTGGAAATCAAATCTTCAACCCGACTTCAATGTGAGCATATGCGACGGTTTCGACCCAAGCTCTTCAGCTCTGCTTCGAGATTTCGACGAGAGCGATCGATTCGTCCAAAAATCAGCCGAATCGACATCGATTTGACCGAGCTAGAGAATTCTGAAGTTTGGCCCCGACGTCCCAGCTCACTGGTTGATTTCCACACAGGCCCCGCGCTCCGGGGCAAGGCCGTGCACCGGCGGTCCGCGTGGCTCTTCAACGTCTGCTACCTCAAGGACGCGAACATCCTGCTCATCACGAAGATCGAGAGCCAGCTCTCCGGCCAGATCTACCCGCCGCTCGAGCAGGTCGAGTGGGAGGACTCGCTGACGACGGTGTCCCAGGGCCTCGCGGCGCGGCGCGGCAAGATCTACCGCAAGGGCTGCTACTGGGGCGAGGACTTCATCCTCGCGTCGCCGAATCTGAAGAACCGGCGACCCGTGAACACGCTCACCTACGTCGAGCTCCTCTCGCTGCCCCGGGACCGCTTCTTCGCGCTGCTCCAGGACTTCCCCGAGCAGTACTACGTCGTCCGCACGCGCGAACCCGCGCGGCGATCAAACATTTCGACTTCGACGGGTCTTTCGCCGCGGACGTTCGCGCGTTCGACGAGGGGCGCGCGCGCGTCCAGACGCGAGCCGCGTCGAACGCGAGACCGAGCGTGTGTGACGTTTTGCTCACCGGGTGTTCGCCGTCCCAGGTACGCGCGGCGCTTCCTCCTCTACGGCGGCATCCGCTACATCGCGTCGCTCGCGCGGAGCGGCGACTACGCGGGCCTCGCGAAGCTCCGGCTGCCGGGCTACGAGATGCCGAACATGAGCAGCAAGCCCAAGTACGACAAGTCGCCGAAGCGGTCCGCCGCGGTCGCGCCCGTCGCGCCGGACGAGGGCCCGCGCAACACGAAGCACCGCGGCGCGTTCTTCTCCGGCGACGTGCCCCACGCGTCGCGCAGCGAGCGCAAGGAGGAGGACCGGGACCCCCGGCCCGCCGGTGCGGACGCGCGCGCCGCGCCGCCGCGGCGCCTCGGCGCGCTCGAGACCGTCGTCTCCGAGCGGGACCTCGGGCGCGACGCCGCGGGCGACCCCGACGACGACGACGACGCGGGGGCCGCGTAGGCACCCGGCTGTATCATCTCGGGGGACGGGGGGGGGGCGACGGGCGCCCGCCCGCGACCGAGGGGCGCGCGAGGCGTCAACGGCGGCGCGCTTACTCGGGGGGCTCCCAGCCCTCGAGGCGCGCGACGTCCGTGAGGTACGCCGCCTCGATGGTCGCCTCCTCGGCGTCGAGCGCGTCCCGGAGGCGCGCCACGGTCGCGAGCCGCGCGTCGCGGATCGCCCGGAGCGCGTCCCGCGCGTCGTCGAGGTCCGCGGCGCCGTCGAGGTCCGCGGCGCCGGCGGGCGCGGGCGCGGTGGCCGCCGGCGCCGCGGGCACCGGCGCGGCGGCCGGCGCGGCGGCCGGCGCGGCGGCCGGCGCGGCGGCGACGGCGCCCGAGGACCGCGTGTCCATGGCGTGGTTCGCGAGCGCGTCCGCGTGGCCGTTGGCCGCGCGCGGCACGTGGGCGATGGCGAAGTCGACGCCGTCGAGTAGCCCCAGCGCGCGGTCCCGGAGCGCGGAGAGCCGCGCGTCGCGGCAGCGCCAGTCGCCGTTGACCTGGTTCACGACGAGCTTGCTGTCGCCGACGAGGCCGCAGGACGCGAGCCCCAGGGCTTTCAGGCCCTCGCAGCCGAGGACCTGTGTGGAAATCAACCACTGGTTTGGGGGGTCCTGACCAAACTTCAGAACTCTCTAGCTCGATCACATCGAAGTCGATTCGGCTGATTTTTGGACGAATCGATGGCTCTCGTCGACTTCTCGAAGCACGGCCGAAGAGCTTGCGTCGAAACTATCGCATATGCGCACATTGAAGTCGGGTTGAAGATTTGGTTTCCACACAGCCGAGGACCAGCGCGGCGTATTCCGCGACGTTGTTCGTCGTCGACGCCTCGGGCAGGAAGCACCAGCCGGCCCAGAGCGTCGCGCCCGAGTCGGCGTCCGTGACGATGGCGCCGCAGCCGCCGCAGCCCGGGTTCCCCCGGCAACCGCCGTCGAAGTGGAGCTCGTGCGCGTAGGCGCCGTGCACCGGCGGCGACGCCACGCCCGCGGCGAGGAGGCCGCGCAGCGCCTCCGGCGCCTCGGCGAGGGGCGCCGCGGCCATCGGCGACGACGCGCCGACGCGCAGCGCCCGGCCGGGCCGCAGCAGCGCCCAGCCGGCGAGCAAGGGCAGGAGCATCGGTGATTTTTTTGACATTTTAGGCGTCCATGCCCAGCCGGGGAGCCGACGATGAACGCATCTTGCTCTGCGAACGGCGCACGTTGCCCCACACAACCGGGCGCTCCAACGCTGCCCGCGGCATGGCGACGCAGACGCTGAGCCCGCGGGCCCAGGCCGAGGACGACGCCATCGTCCCCGACGCGAAGCGGTCCCACGCGGAGGACGTGCTGTCGTTCCAGGAGATCTCGCACCTCAACGACCGCAAAGTGTCTCTCAAGGACAGCCACTTTGGGTACCTGCAGCAGCACCCGGAGCTGCGGTCCATCCTCGCCGACTTCACGGCGGCCGCGCTCCTGGAGAAGCCCATGAAGATCTTCCCCTTCGCCGCGGAGCACTTCGCGGGCCTCGCGCAGTCGCCGGAGAGCGGGCCGCCCATGCTCGTCCGGGGCAGCCCGGCGCGCCACCCGGCGCCCGAAGCAAAGGCCGCGGCGCGCCGACCGCGCGCGCGCTGTCGCCCGACGCGGGGCCGGCGCAGGTGCTCGTCGTCGCGGGCGCGAAGCGGCTCCGGCTGCTGGAGATGCTCAACCGCCGCTTCCCCGGCACGTTCATGGCCCCGGTCATGACGACGACGCGGCCGCCGCGGCGCGGCGAGCGGCCGGGGCTCACGATGAACTTCGCGACGCGCGTCCCCCGGCGCCCGAACCTTCCTCCCGCCGACGACGGCGCGCGCCGCGCGCGCCGCGCGCGCGGCGGCCCCGGCCGTCGGCGGCCCCGGCCGCCGCGCGCGCGGACTTCACCGACGACCGCCGCGCGCCCGCCGCGCGCCCCGGCGCCGACGACCGCCCCCCCCCGCCCCTCGCGCAGGCGCGACATGATCACGGCCGACGCCGAGGCGGGCAAGTACCTCGAGACGGGTCCGGAGCCCGAGGCAGAGGGCGAGCTCATCGGCACGACGCTCGAGGCGATCACGCGCATCAAGGCCATGGGCGCCGTGCCCCTGCTCCACGTGTCCTACGAGCGCGCCGTCGCCGCGCGCACGTGCGAGAAGGTCAACCCGCCGCCCTGCACCGTGCTCGTCTGCGAGGACGCCGAGCCCCCCGCGGGCGCCAACTTCAACTTCAACACCATCATCACGAACGGCAACAGCGACAAGGTCCTCGACGCGCTCGTCGCGGCCGTCGAGAAGTACTACCCCGACCGCGTCCCCGTCTGAGCCCGGGGCGCCGCGCGCCTCAGGCTTCTTCTTCTCCTTCGCCGGGTCGGTCGCGTTCCGGTGCCGCGGCGTGCGCGCCGTCCGCGCGGGAGCAACCTGGGTACCTCGACGGCGCGAAGTGGAAGAGAGAAGGGGTTTGCATCTATCTGCATCTGCTTCAATAATTAGATGAATGAGATGTTGACTATTGTATCTTTGAGGCGGCCTCTCGCCGCTTTTTAGAGCGTACGTCCTCGACTTGCTATCCTATTAAGATCGAACGCTTGTGCACACGCTAAGGCGCCCCCCAGCGCGGCTCTAAGGGCGGGGGGATATGGGGGTTTTCCCTGGAGTCCTTCGGTCGAGTCCGGGGAGGCGGGCGAGGCGAGAGGTTAATTTTTCAGAGCGTTTTCGCGTCTCAAAACGTCGATCGCGCGTTTGTCGCGCCCCCCCCAGGGCCACACAAGGGGCCGACGGGTGCGGGTCAGGGTTCTTGGCCGACGGAGCCCCGCACCTTTACCCTCACCCTCCGGTCCGAAACCCTTACCCGCACCCGTTATCACGGGTCCTGGGAATTTGGGCACCCTTACCCTTACCCGCGGGTGGCACCCTACCAAAATCCTCTAATTTAAAAAAAAAATATATGGAAACCGCCGAATTTGGATTCGGACGCGCAAATTAAGCTGCTTTTGGATCGACCCGACAACCTGGCAGCTGCATTACACGCCCTCGAACGGAAATCAGGAGGTCGGCCAGGCGCGGGACACCCTCGAGGG